TGGAGCTCTAGGAAGTACTTAGCTCGGTGCAGCGCGCGGGGGCGGGGCCCAGAAAGGAGTGCAAAGCGGGTATATTTGCATATCCCGCCCCCGTCTGTGATTGACACCCAGATAACCCCGCCCCGCGCCCTGGCTACGTTACCCACCCAGAGGGCCCAGCCTTGGACTTAAATTTCCCAGCCTAGATCAAGTCCCCACCCCGCGCCACTAGCAATCTGGCCGAGGCCTGCGTTTTACCGCCGCGGGCGGGTGGACGTCTCTTAGGTTCCTGGAACCGGGTAAGCCGGTCTGGGAGCCGCTTCTGGGCTGGTCTCGACCTGTGGACCGGCCCTTTCCCAGCTCAGCGGAGTCCGAACTGGGGCATCTGTTCCTTGGGTCCCACACTGTGGAGGAGGCGGGGGTGGGGGTGGGCGTGGTGAGCGAATATCTGGATGATGGGGGGGGACACCACTAGACCTGTTCCGTATTTGCTCTCCTGCAGGACAATCCTCTCTGGACCTCGGTTTCCCAGTCTGTGAAAAGTGGACATTAAAAGGACCGACCTCAAAGGAAAGTAGCAAATGCATCATTCACTCACAAAAAACACTTAGTAAGCATCTACTAGATTCATCTCTGCCCTGATGGAGGCCACAAGCTAGAAGAGGAGACAGACCCAGAAAGAAATGTAACATTGCAGTTGTGATAAATACTACTACTACCACCACTACTACTACCGCTACTATTACTACTACTACTACTACTACTACTACTACTACTACTACTACTACTACTACAAAGTAGTTCCTGATCAGAATAGCAATAAATATAGGGGTCTTAGGCTAAAACGGAGGGCAGAAAGGTAAGTTCCCTGATGATTTGCCCTTGAGCTAAGCTGACTTAACTAGGTAAATAGGGAAGAGAAAAGACTCTTAGCACATAATAGAATATACAAAGGCCCTGTGGCTGGAAAGATTGTGGAAATATAAGGAACAAAAAGCAGATCAGTGTGGCCAGAGAATGATGCAAGATTAGCCAGAGATGGGCTGGGCACAGATCAAGCAGAGTCTTTCAGACAGTCGTAGGGGTTTTGTCCCTCTTCCAGAAGCAGAATTTTCCTAACTCTGGGACAGTGGGCAAAGTGATTCAATGTTATTTAAATAATGTAACGAATCCCTCAGAGTCTCTCCCTTTTCAGCTAGTCTAAGGATCGTCTTTGGCAATAATGTGTCTTTAACCTTTCTAATCTTCCTTTGTAACAAAGGAAGCTGTCTGGAACCTAACATTGGCTACTGTTTCAGCAGGGTCTTATGACAGTGTTTCATTTTCATTGTAACTTTTATACACTGTTACCTTCTAAGTATAGTGAGTGATTGACAAGTGGGTTAAGTTTAAAATATATATTACTTAAATAATAGTACTGTTGTTAAGCAGATATGACAAAAATCCTGACCCTCAACTGTCTGAAGTTTGGGAAATTCAATTCTAAGAGCCATGGGAAGCCACTGATTAATGAGATAATAAATATTAAGCATTTAGCACCTGCTTACCCCAGCCAACCTCATTCACTTACTCAGGACTGGGCTGGGCATTCATGGAATTGACACTTATATGGGGCCATGGATGCTAAATAGAACTTAAATATATCCTTTCAGGAGGTGAGCAGTGCTCTAAAGAAGGCTGAACAGGGTAAAGGAGTAGGTAGCAGAGTGGGGTGCTATTTTAGATCAGGTAGCCAAAGAAGGCCTCCCCAGGGAGGTGACATTTCAGCAGAAAGTGAGGATGGACTTGTGGATGTCTGGGAGAAGAGCATTGCAGGCAGAAGGAACAGCAGGCGCAAAGGTCCTGGGGTTGGAACGCACCTGTCCTGTTCTCCAAGCAAAAATGGAGCAGAGGAAAGCTGGGAGAGTGAAATGATCCCGTTTGCATTTTTATAAGATCAGTGCAGCTGCTGCATAGAATAGACTGTGGGCGTCAAGGGCAGGGAGGAAGCCACTGCCCTCACCCAGGTGAGAGGTGAAGGCAGCTCACAGCAAGATGGGAGCCATGAGGATGGGGAAAAGCTTGGAGTGGGATGAATAGTCAAGTTGACAGCACCTGCGACTGGACAGGGTATGAAGGAAGGAGAAAAGGGAAGTCAAGGAAGATTCCCCCTCAGGTGGAAGGCTGGCAGGAAGCAGCAAGAATCCTCTTTAGTTCCTGCCAGGTTTGGAATACCTTAGAGCCTCAAGGGGAGACAGAGAGAGAGGATTTGGCCAGACAAGTCTGGAGGTTAGGGGGAGGTCCAGGATGGAGAGCAAAATTTGGGAGTCAGCATAGAGGTAGCAGTTAGGGCCTTAAGACTGAATAAGCCTACCTAAGGGTGAGTATAGACAGAGATGGACCCAGGGCCTGAGGCAGGAACCACAGGTGAGGTGGGAGTGTGAGTGTGGGGGCCTGAAAGCAGGAAGAATCAACCCTGTCAAATCATTAGCATTAGACCAGACTCAAGCTGGGAGGGGAGCTCTCGTTCACATTGAGCTACTGGATGAGGAACCATTCTTCCAGCTCTCTGGGCTTAGCACAGTGTCTGTACACGCTTTCCCATACATATACATGTACTTGTATTGCTCTATGTGCTTTTATTATTTTTTTCAAAACAAACAACTTTTTTTTAAATTGAAGTATAGTTGATTTACCATGTTGTGTTTGTTTCAGGTGTACAGCAAAGTGATTCAGAGATATATATAGACATAGATAGATGGACTTTTTTTTAAAGTCTTTATTGAATTTGTTACAATATTTCTTCTGTTTTATGGGGGTTTTTTTGGCCCTGAGCCATGTGGGATCTTAGCTCCCCATCCAGGGATCGAACCCACATCCCCTGAATTGGAAGGCGAAGTCTTAACCACTGGACCGCCAGGGAAGTCCCTAGGTATATATTCTTTTTCAAATTCTTTTCCATTATAGGTTATTACAAGATATGAATATAGTTTCCTGTGCCATACAGCAGGTCCTTGCTGTTTACTTTATATATAGTAGTGAATACCTGCTGTATGTGCTTTTTAATAAATTTATTTATTTATTTTTGGCTGTGTTGGTTCTTCGTTGCTGCGAGCGGGCTTTCTCTAGTTGCGGTCAGCAGCCTTCTCATTGTGGTGCCTTCTCTTGTGGCAGAGCACGGGCTCTAGGCACGCAGGCTTCAGTAGTTGTGGCTCGCGGGCTCAGTAGTTGTGGCTCACAGGCTCTAGAGTGCAGGCTCAGTAGTTGTAGCACATGGGCTTAGTGGCTCCGCGGCATGTGGGATCTTTCTGGACCAGGGCTCGAACTCATGTCCCCTGCATTGGCAGGAGGATTCTTAACCACTGCGCCACCAGGGAAGTCCCCAATTTGTGCCAATTTTGGACAATGCTGTAGTGAATACCCTTCTGGAACCTCTTTTTCCAGGCCTGAGGTTCCGTGGGGATCCACGGGCTATGAGATCTGTGACAGTTTTAGTTTTCACAGCTATTGTCCAATCGATTATTCCCCAGAGGGCTTGTCCCAATAACCCAATGCCATGTAATGGCGTGGAAAGTCCATGGCTCATCAATGTCGACTGTTGTGACAAATTTTCAATTTTGTCTCTTCTGATGGGTGAAATGGGGTCTTGGGGAAGGGTATACGTTAAGCGGATGTATGTGAGGGGCACTTGGCCTGTCTCCCACAGCATCACCTCCAGCCCTCAGCCCCCAGTGACCGAGTACCGGAAACCCCCAGGCGGCTCGGTCGGGGGCGGGGGTCGGCCAAGCAGCTTCCCGTGGAAGGAAGCGCCCGGCGGTTCCTGCGACAGGATGCGCAGTGATGCCCCTCCCCAGCCGCCGGGGACTTCCCGGGGCCGGGCCAGGTTCTCGAGGGAGTTGCCCCCACGCGGACGCAATGAGCTACCGCGAGGGGTGTGGGGCTCCAGTCCCCCAGCATCCCACTGCGGAGCTGTGGGTCGGTCCCCCGAGTGGGCGGCACTAAAGTCTTTCACATTTCCCGGGAGGGAAACGGGCTGCGGTGGAGGCGAGATTCCCCTGAGGGGCCCTGAGGGAGGCAGGGAGGAGGGAGTGCGATGAGTGAACGACGCAGGAGTGGAGCCAGGGGCGGGCATTCGGGGGCGGGGCCGCCCCTCCCCCGCGCCCTCCTCCCTCAACCCTCGGGGTCAGGTCCCCCGGGTCTCGGGAGGCCAGCAGTGGCTGAGCCTGCCGTCTGGAGGCGGGGCTGGAGCTTTCCCGGCGCCTCCCGCCGCCCTCACCGCCCGCACCTGCGGCTCCTTTGTCCTCCCAACAGCCCCCACCCCCCACCCCCCAGCCCCAGTGCAACATCTACAGCCGCTCTCCTAAACCAGCACTGGGGAAATTGTGAGGGTTTCCTCCTCTCTGGGGGGCTAACCTGGGGATGGGGTGGGGCCAAAGCAAACAAGCGCTCCCACGGGAATTTCTAAACCTACAGCCTCGCAGGGAAGCTGTTGAGGCCCACTTTGCAGATGAGGAAACTGAGGCTGGGAGCACACCTCCTAGCCTGAACCACAGTTATACCGCCAGAGACTGGAACTGGGCATAAAGTGTGCTCCAAAGCTCACCTGCTCAGTTCCACCCCAGTTGTGGGAATCCCTGCTGATTCAGTTAATCAAGCGGGGGGGGGGGGGGGGGGGGGACTGTTGGGAGACATCCTTCAAGTCTCCAAAGGAGGTGTGGCCCCCCGACTCTGCTGCGGGCACAGTACCCAAAGTATCCCCCAAACGTCTGAACTCGGAAAGCACTCTGACCCAGCCAGAAATATAGGAGAATGTCCAAGGAACCCCCAAACGTGAGAGGGTTAAGGAAAGGTCAGAGCACCAGGCAATCAGCACTCAGTGCTCTGGCAAAGAAAAGGCGCCCGGCCCCTTCCCGCCCACTCTGCCCACGTGGTAGCCGGTCAGACCGGTTTCTGGGGCCCCAGCAAGCCGCCAGCCAGCTCCTGACCCCTTAACCCTGCCCCTCCCCCACCAGGGAAGAAAACCAGACGGGCTCCACAGACTTTTTCTTCAAATGTTCTTTATTTTCCTATCTGGCATTTCTAGCAAAAAGGCCAGACAGATGGAGTTAACAGAATCCACCACAGTAAAGGTAAACAGAACCCCCCTCCCCCAAAACTGGCCCAGTCTCACCAGCAACTGATCCCAGCTCAGCTTTACAGCGCTCTGAACAACCCCCTCCCCCCATTTCCGTGATTCAGACCAGGAACGTCTGGGTTGACTGTGTCTGTTGGTCTGAGGGAGGCTCAAGCTTGAGACTGTCAACATATTCCCACCTCTCACACACCAGATGAGAAAAATTTTAACCTGAAATTAGATCTGCCCTCTGCCCCCGAAGGCGTAGGGGCTCGGGGCAATAACCCACACCACGCGGAGGCGAAGCGACTCAGGCCGCCCTCCTCCCATTCCCCTGGGCGTCCACACCCCAGATCCTCCTCCCAGGCCTCACACCCACGCAAGGCAACAGGAAGCTCCCCACGTCTGCCCATGACGCAACGATGACCGCTTGCACAAGTATGTCACTGGAGGGGGAAGGGGAGTGCCTGGAATTCTCTGAGGTTGGAAACGCAAACACCAACTATTGAAAAACCTTGAAAGGGCAGCACAGCCCCCAGTAAAAAATAAAGTACGACCCTGAGGAGTTTAAAGAACCAAAGCTCCCTTCTCCAAGTCCCAGAAGGAGAGCGTAAGGTCCATATCCCAGTCCGTTAAGACAGCACCTGTGGGCGCGGCAGGTCTGGGGGAAGACGCCCGCGCCCCCGGCTCAGGTTTCTTGGTGTCGCCGCTGCACACAGGTGGCGACGGCACCCCGTGGGTAGAGTCCCTCTCAGGGCATCTCAGCAGCCAGGGCGGCTGCCCCTCTCCACGGTTTCCACGGGCGCTCCCCCGGGGGTGGGCCTCGCCTTGGGTCTGCTCACTCTGGCCTACGGTTCGGCCCGCGCTCTGGTAGCGCCGCTCACGGACCCTCAGAAGGCCACCACGGCCCGCACCAGCACGTTCAGCATATTGTCCGCCGGGCGGCAAGCCGGCTTCGCCTCGCACGCCGGCGGCGCCGTCGGGGGCGCGGCGGGGCTGCAGTTCAGGAGGCCAGAGAAGCGCCTCTGCAGGACACGCGCCAGGTTGGGGAAGGCGCCCTCCGCTTGCGCCGGAGGGGGCTGCAGGCGATCAAGGACGTCCGAAGAGGCCCTTTCCTCCTCCTCCTCTTCTTCTAGGCGCGCTTTCTTACTCGGGACCAGTGCAGCGTCCCCACCGTCGCTCAGGCTGCAGCTCCGCCGCTTGCGGCTGACTTTGGCGGGGCGCTGGGCACTGCGGGCAGGGGTCTCCTCCGCTCTCGGTGTCTCCTGCGTGTCCATGGGCTCCGGAGAGGGCTGCTCACCGTCGCAGGGCGCTACCTCTGCTGCGGCTTCCGCTTCCCGCGGCGGGTGCAGGCAAGGGTCAGGGGAGCGGGCGGGCGGCAAGGGCACCTCGGGCTCCTGGGCTTCCACCTTGGCCGAGAGGTAGAGCTCCCGGGCGCTGCGCATGACCAGCGACAGCTGCAGACTCCGGTGCAGCCGCAGGCCACCGCGCTGCATGCGCGAATGGTACATCTTCCACACCGACAGGGTCATGATGCGTTGCGCCTCCTTCTGCACTTCCATAGCTGCTTGACGGAGGGGCGAAGGCGGCGGGGACACGCGGCTGGGCAGGGCAGGTGGCAGGTGCACACTGGACAAGGCGCTCGTTCACGCCTCTCTTTACAAGCCAACCCACGCTGAGACGCTGCCAGGACGCTCTACCCCGGCGCCCGCCACCCGGGCCCTTTTGTACCTCAAGTGAAGTCACTGAGACGCCCCGCCCAATCAGAAAGTCGCATCCGGGCTTTCCACAGCTCTGAGGCGAAAGACTCCTTAAAGCGACAGGGTGGAATTTACCGAGCAAAGAAAAGGGACCCGAACTCGTGTGAGGAGGAGCGTTCCCCAGTCCAAGCTGAGCTCTCGGGGTGGTCTGCTTCCTCAGGGCCCCCCACTGCACCCGCGCGCGGGCCCAGGGGACAGGCGCCGTGGGTGGGGCTCAGGGTCCACCCACGGGTTGCGTCTGGAGACCCCTGCGGGTCGTAGGCGGCACGTTTCCCTTCGCACCCGGGAAGACTTGGGTTCTAACCGGTACATCCCCCGTGGGAACTGTGCCTAGCATCTACCAGGCGCCTAATTAATGTCTTGTTTGATCCCCCGTGGGAACTGTGCCTAGCATCTACCAGGCGCCTAATTAATGTCTTGTTTTTGTTTTTTTAATCAATAACGATGCTTACACTTACTAAGCTCTTACTACGTGCCAGGCGCTAAAGGCTTTCCTTTCACAAACATCTCATTGATCTCTCACCTCCACTCCGCGGAGGGTAGTTATATCTTATTTCTTCAGGTGAGGAAACCGAGGCAGAATGACTCGTCCAATATTTGCTAAACGAATAAATGAGCCACGGCGGTGAAAGGGGACCACTGGAACCTGAAGCTCTCCTGTCTCTCCAGCGTCCGCCAGCCCCCGTCACTCCCCTCGTTTGGAAGCAGTTAAGAAAGCGGGACACGCTGGCTGGCTCTAGGGCAAAGTTGCCCACTACACGGGCGGCGGACGTCTGCAGACACAAGCGCAGCCCAGGCTGCCATCTCTGCGCTCCTCTTTGAGCATCCCCCCTCCGCCACCCCAGTTTCCGTCGGCACGAAATCCACCATGGGCGTGGAGCTCGTAAGGCGGAGGACCCGGCCGCAACACAGTCCGAGTGAACATGTGGCTGCGGTCCCCCAAACGACGCAGCCGTTCTCCGCCTCTGCTTCCCGGGAGGCGGAGTTGGGATAGGACCTAGAAACTGAGCCACGCATTGATAGAGCAGATAGATAGAAAACATCGGCCCCACCTTCCGCTACGCACTACAGTTCCAAGAAAACCTAATTCCAGTTCCTCAGAAAATGCAGAATTGTTCGAACAGCTCCATTCACTCGTG